ATTTAATATTAAGTTTTGAACATTTTGTTCAATTGAGATAGTTTTTTCAATAATATCAGTAATTATGATATCCTTTTCAATAACTAATGTTGATGGATTAACTCCATTTAATGAATAAACATTGTTAGAATAACTCGATTTAATTGTCACTGTACAATTAGGATTAATTGTATTACAAGGACAGGAATAGTCAGGATAATTATTAATATCTACATAAGAATAATTACCAGTTACATAACAAAATTGTTGAATCAAATTGAGTTTTCTACAATTACTTTCATTGTCTTCAGCGCCAAGTAAAATAACTCGCTTGTCACATGAAAGTGGAAGAGTACTTTTAATACTTCTTGAACCAACTCTAACTAATATAATAATGTTATTTGTATTATTAATCCTAGTATCTAAATTAAAATAAATTTGATTTGGTGATGGGTTAATAGAGAAAACCTCATTTTGAATATCATGATCTGAAATAATTGAATTAAGTTGAATCTGATCTACAGTTTCTGTTAGATAGATTGTATGATTATTAAATATTAATTTGTTAATACTTATATTTGTTAGGATTTTAATTGGACTTGTAACATTAAGTGTATTAATCGAGTTTCCTTTTAAACTAGTTTGTATTTCTGATTGGTTCATTTCTAATAAATCAATATCATCGAAAGTGATTATATTATCTGAACATAAGGTATTTAATGAAACACTGAAATGATTTGATTTCATTATTACATTTCCACTTTGGTAAAGAATAAGGTTTGACTCTAATTTAAGTTGAACCTTTTCACAATTCATATAAAGTTCATTCTGTGGTATAAAATAACATTCATTCCCTTGACAAGGACAATAACTAATAATAAATGTTGAATTAAACCATTTAGAATTAATATTACAAATTACTTCATTAGTAACATCATTTTTTGGACAAATTCTCAATAAAGTTTCATTACTTAACTTTATTTGTTTGTATTCTTCTCGTATTGTTTCTATAACACTTCTAATCTTTTTAGATGAGAGTAATTCAAAGCATTCCTTTTGTTGAGGGTCTATCTTAATTTTATTAACATTCATTTCACCAATTGCCTTTTCTTGAAAAAGGACTTCTTTATTTATATTATTAATTAATTGCATATTTAATGTATCAATAATCATCAACTCATTTAAATATATACGAGATTTTGAATTTACACTACTGCTATTACATTTTATAATTGTCTGAATTGTAATATCAACATCATCAAATACACATTTGTTAAATGAAATAAATAAATTTCCTTTTATCGTTGTGGATGAATCTGTAAATAAAAGACTATTCCAATGAGTATCATTTTTTTCTATTATCAATTCTTTTCCAATCACAACTAAATTTCTTGTTATTTCTGCTTGGTCATAAAAACAATCAGATATATCAAATGTGTTTAAGTCATTAATTAAATTTGTTTTACAATCACATCCAATACTATTATTCTTAAAACCAAATCTTGAATAATTATTATCATCACACACTATTCCAATAAGATCAGAATTTATTTCACAAGTACTGTTTGATGCAATAAATAATATAGCATTATTATTAATATTTTTAGTAATTAAATCTTTAATAACACTCTTTTGAGAAAACCTCAAATATTCAACTCTTTCTGGATTGTAAGAAAAGTCTAATGTTTCAATATTAATATTAATATCAAATATAACAGGTGATTTATGTTTATAATGATCAATAATCATTTCTTTCCCACTTATAAGAGTCATTTCAGTTGTTCTAACATCAACCTCTTTCCATTTTATAGGAGTGTCAATAGTAAATAGATTAGCACGAATGACAAGTGTTCTTTCAGTACTAAATTCTAAACAATCATTTTGCACAAAAATATCTCCTTCTCGTTGGCAATCACAACCAATAGACTTGTTAGCTACAGAGGTGTACCTATTTAATGTACCTTTACATTGAAGAGAGACAGTTTGTAATTCATTAGATAAAATACCAACGAAGAGAACTTTTGTAGAATCTAGTTTGGTAATAACCTCATTAATCATAACATCATTTCCAAAATTAAGAAAAGGATTTTGGTCATTAATTATCAATGTAGTAATCTTCATTCTCCCATTAAGCCTAAAATCAAATTTTGGCTCAAATCTAGTTATATTAAGAAAACGTGTTGTTAACACAATTGGCTTTGTAACCATTAATATAGCCCATTGTTCTGGACCTGTATATATTGAATCTGAATTAATTACAAGAGACAGATAGGGAGAATACAATAAACAATCCCACTGACCAAATGTTGAATTATCCCATATACATTCACATCCAACTTGTTGTAATGATATTCTGTAATACTTATTTTCTATAAAACAATTAGAATGGAATGGAATAGGTTGTTTTATAGAAGATAAGAAAAGTACTTGATTAGTAGTATTAAATGTTGTATCTATTTTGGAGACTTGAACATTTCCATTAATTTTGATTTGTGGAATAAAATCTCCATATTCCATTAGTTTAATAAATGAGTCTTTCCCAAAAATGTTAAGGTTAGACAAACATTGGACTGTATTAATCTGAACTGTATTTAAGTAAAATGAAATATCACCATTAGGAATGACTTTATTCCAATCATTTTGTATTTCAACTCCATCCTCTATAAGGATATCTCGTGAATTAGAATAATCTGCACAATCCCATGAATTATAACTACTTCTTAAATTCAAAATTTTATCTAATGAAGAACATTCACATTTTGACGTTAGCCTATAACTAATTCTAAATGGACTTATTTCACATGAACTAAATGTGTTTGTTGGATTTGTTAATTTAGAATTTGAAATATAAAACCAATCATCTGGCATAGTGACAGTTTCTATTGATGTACCCCAAACAGATACTTTATACTTGCCTGTTATATTTAATAAAGTAATATAATTTCCATAAACTTGAACATTTCCCATAGCCACTATAGTTGATTTACTTTTTAAAACTAAAGTTGAATCAGGACCAACACACTGAATTTCTTTCCATGAATAATTAATTGTAATGTTATTTGTTGTATTAATATAAAGACTATAAACACTGGGATTTAACAAACAGTCCCATTGCTCTATTTCGTTATCAGAAGAGTTTTGAATAGAACAGCCACATCCGATTTGATTTCCTTTAATCAAATATCTTGTTTGTTGTGGACTTATTGAACATCCTATTTCTAAAGCTTCTGGAACTGATACTGAAAATGGTGCTAAAAAAACAATTGCATTTTTATTATCCATAATCACATTAGAAATACTTGGAAGAACAGAAAATATTAATCGACATTCATTTGTTATATACAAACTATTAAATAATGTTTCTCCATCAACGTGAACTTTCCCCTTACAAATAAACATATCTGCAATTAACTGATATCCATCATCGATATTAATATTAACTGAATTCTCAACAGAAATATTCTTCCATTTCATAGTTTGTTTAATAAAAATATCATTGGTAATCATTAGATTCTTTGAAGAAGTATTTTGGCAATCCCATTCTTTAAATGAAGTTAATGTTGAATCAGTTGGAGTACAATAACAAAGGAGAGTTGATTCTGCAGAAACAATTCGATCGTATCCTTGATATAATTCACAATGACTTTGTTTTAATGTAGAAGGTAATGAAATAACATTTTTAGCATAAAAGAGAATTGAATTTAAACTGAGTTTAGTATTAGATAAAGAATCAATTTTAATTGAATCAAACCAACATAATTTTGAATATGTTAATGTACCAATTTCTAAAGTACCAATAAATCTAGTTGGAGTTGATTCCCATTGATTTATAGTTAGAGTATTAAAAATTATAAGATTAATATATTCTTTTTGAATAATTAATTTCTTCCATGTATTTGTTGCTGTTAAATTATCTTTATTAATAATTAAATTAAAATGTTCATGATAATATAAACAGTCATTATAATTGTACTGAAGATCTTTCTCTAATATACAACCACAATCAGAACCTTCACTATATCCATATCGTAACATCTCTCCCATATTACATAATTGTTGAGGTTGTTTACCTACATTTTCAAAGTAACAAGGTTGAACACTTTTCTCTCCAATAAAAATAGCATTTGTATTAGTTGGTAATGGATGTTTTTGATCATAACTACTTACAAATACCCAAGGATAACCAGTTACTTCAAGAAAAGCGCTTGGAAATGTTTTAGTTTTAATATCCAAATATGGTTGATTATCTGTGTGAAAATAAAGAGGAGATATGGTTGTTAATACAATAGGTTTATTTGATTGATTCGGTTGTTTAAAAATAATTCTTATTGAGTCTGATGCAAATGAATGAATCCAAAATTTCGCTTCTGTATTTCTTTGTTCAATGATAAGTGTTTTTAGAGTAGTTCCTTTTACAATAGTAATAAATTTATTACCTGGCCAGTTTTCATTAATAATTGTTAATTCTTCTTCACATTGATCAAAAATAAAACCATCACATGCACTTAGAATTTGGTCCATACATATATCACTCTGAGTTAATCCATATGATTTATATGTTGACTCTAACTGATTCCAGGTTCCCCATTTCCATCCATTTCTATCACAAGGAGATGGTTGTTCTTCAATTAGTACTGTGACATCATTAGGGTCGTGGCAATATGTCCCACTCCCAAAACAAAGGGAGACAATAACATATAGGAATATAAGTGACATAGTTTAAAAAAATAAGATAGCTTTCAAGAGCTTTATTTTTTTCCTTTTTCCCACTTTTTTAATAATCATTTTTCTTCTTGAAATTTCTTCTTTTTTTTCTTGTATTAATCTTTTTAATCCCCTCTATTACCATTAAACATCTTTTTTAAAGAGATAATTTATTCATATATCCTCACCCATTTTACTCAGTACTATGAAAAATTAATAAAACCTTAATTTTTAATGAATTTTACTTTCATTTCTTTTATTCCAAGAATATCTAATAAGAAGATTGTTTGAATATTCAAAATATAAAATGTTAATATTAAACTCAAAACAACATACTGAATTTTCATTTTATTTTCATTTTATTTCTCTTTGTTGGATTAGTTTAAATTAAAGTCATTATTCATGTTCAATTCTTTTTTATTAAAAAACCAATAATGTTTTTTATTCCAATAAATGAAAATAGTAGAATCCATATTAAAATGACATAAATAAAAATAAAAAGAAGTAACAATAACAAATAATTCTTAGTAAATAAGAATAATTAATTTGTAAATTGTTATTTATCTCAAACTCAGAGATTTTCAAAATTTTCAAAATATAAAACTAAGCTGACAAATACTTGTATAAACGAATTGATTATTAAGAAACCAGAGTTAAGATAAATAATTATAAATAAAGTTATATTTTAATTTTTTATAGAGTAATTACCTCAAGAAATAAACAATGAAAAAAAAATTAGTTTCATGGAATATTGTTAATTAACATCATTTATCAGAAATATAATAACTTTTAAGAATTGATTATATAACATCAAATGAATTTATTGAATAGTTATTTAATTTGCAAACTAAAAGTATTATAACTTAATATATAAAACTAAGAAAATACATTTTTTAAATGAATAATAGAGATTTAAAAAGATAAGATTAAGAAGTTGAAAATTAAAAGAAGTAAAATAAAATAGAAAGCAAAATAGAAAAAAAGAAAAAGAAAGAAAAATGCTTACTTCAATTAATTTATTTTCCCATTATTTTATAACACTATATATTTAAATAAAACAAATAAAGTAAGAAAAAGAAAATTGAAAAAAGTTAAGTGATAATTAATGAATACTATTACTCTGGATGAAGAAGAGGTTTTAAATTATTTGCCATCATTACAACATCACTATCTTTATCTTTTAATAATGTTTCAACACATGGAGCAATACGAGAATTCACAGTACCTTGGTCCAAAATATTTCTTTGAATAAGAACGCCCAACTGTTGTAAAATTGTTAAACGAACATTTGAAGTAGAATCAAATGCCAAATTTAAGATCATTGGAAGAAATGCAGTAGAGAAAGAGTCTTTTCCCATTACACAACCAACTTCAACCATTGCAGCTATAGTAGATTGTCGAATTTTATAATTTGGATGTGTATAATACAATGAAATGATTGGAATAATGTAAGTTCTTCCCCAATCTGAACCAAACATTTTAACCATATCAGCCATTGATAAAACAGCTTGTCTACGAACTTCAAGACAAGAATCTTTAAGACCATTTTTAATAACTGGAATAACTTTTTGAGCAAGATCAGCACCAATGAAAGAAACAATTTCTGGTAATAATAATTGAACAAATGAACGTACTCTCCATTCTGGGTCATTAGTTAAAGAAATAATAGAGGAAACTAAATCAAAATAGCTTTCTAATTTACATGACTCAAGTAAAGTTTGGGCAGCTGTTAATGAAGTAATTTTTACATCTGACGAATCATCTTTTAATAATTTATTAATTAAATCAATAGCTTCTTTGTGTGGTAGAGTTGATGAAACTAAAGTTGCTACAACACAACGAATAGATGGATTAACGTTATTAGCTAGTTCGTTTAATGGTTCAACTAATAAAGGTGTTTGTTGTTTTGGAAGTTTGTTTAATGCAGTAACAATAACAGATGGATCTTGATCTCCTAAAAAAGGGAATAACTGTTCTAAACTAGGATTTTCTAAACTTTCAACAGCTTTTAGTCTATCTGAATAATACAATGAATCAGCCATTCTTGTTATTTGGTTTTAAATCTTTTTATTTTTTTTGATATTTTTTAGTTCTTTTTTATTTTTTCTTAAAATTTAAGAATCTTAAATACTATTTTATGTTATTCAAAAACAGTTTTTATTCCTAATAATACTTGCTTGTTTTAGGTTTCAAGTTACTTCATAAAGCCAATAAAGTCTTTCATATAACACCCACCTTTTATTTGGTGGTTGATTTGGTTACTTAATCCACATCATCAAAGAACTGACCCCTTGAATAAATAAGAAAATAAACTAAATATAAGGGATGATATTAATGAAGTAAAGAAAACAGAAAATTGAAACAAAATGAAAAAGATTAAAATAGAAGAGTAATCTAAAAATAAAATAAAAACTAAAAATACTTAACTGAAAATAAATAATAAAAGTTAACAAAAAACAATTAAAAATAAGCTATAAAAAAAATGAGAAAAAAATAGAAAAAATAAGAGAAAAAAAACGGGAAAAGGGTATAAAATGAGAAAAATAAAAATATAAAGAAACTCTATGTAAAAGAGTGAACTGAAAAAGGAATTTATTCTAAATAATGGCGGAGGAAGACTATAAAGTAGAATTACATAAAGTAGTTCTTGTTGGAGATGGTGGTGTTGGAAAATCTGCTATTACTATTCAATTAACACAAGGCCATTTTATTATAGATTATGACCCAACAATTGGTTTGTTTATAAATTTGTTAGTCTTAAAGAAAAGGATTAAGTTTAGAAATAAAACTATTTATATATTTTTAATTAAATAAAAACGTTATTAATTCTTTTAGAAAATTGCTATAGAAAAACATTAACTGTTGATAACCGTATTTGTGTATTAGATATTCTTGATACTGCTGGTCAAGAAGAATATGCTTCAATGCTTGATCAATATTTCCGTAATGGTCATGGATTCTTAATTGTCTATAGTGTCACTGACCGTAATAGTTTCGAAAGTATTAAAAATTATCAAAATAAAATTCTTCGAGTTAAAGAAGCTACATCTTTTCCAATTGTTTTTGTAGCTAATAAAGTCGATTTAGTAAAAGATCGTGATGTTAGTGAAAAAGAAGGAAAAGATAAAGCTGCTGAACTTGGTGTTAAGTATATAGAAACTTCTGCTAAAAATAAACTAAACATTGAAGAAGCTTTTTATACTCTTGTTCGTGAAATTCGTAAACAACAAAACAGTGATGCACCTGAAGAAGCTGGTAAAGGTGGCCCTAAAAAACAAAAAGAGAAGAAAAAATGTTATTTGTTCTAAATCAGTGGTTATATTATATTCTTTTGGTCTCAATAAATAAAAAAAATTTTTTAATATATTTTTTTTATTCCTTTTTTTCTTTCATAAAAATATGGAAATATTTTTAGTTAGAAAATGATTTCCAATAAAAAAGGTGAATTGACTAAACCCCAAAGGGTTGAAAAAGAAAGAGAGCAAATTCATACCCAACGATAAATAACAATTTAGATAGTGAAATCAATGCCAAGTTCCTTGCAAAGATTCTGTTTATCTTTTAACATTTGATCAGTTTGTTTCTTGATTTCTTCAAGTTGAGAAAGAAGATTAGAATAATCAATGATACATGGTGATTGTTTTTGAACGTAATTATTATCACCCTTTTCTAATTGTTCTTCACCATTCAAAAATTCAACTCCAGTTGTATTAATATAAATTTGAACTTTTGGTGTAGTAAGAGATGGAACAGACATTACTATGAATTTTGAGTTTAAGATCTAAAAGAGAAAAGATAAACCGAAAATGAGTAAATTAATAAGAATTCTCATAGATTGATTCAAATTCTTTAATTGATTTATCACCAATAACTCCTTTTAATTCACATTCGATAATAGTTGGTTCCCACTTATTGTTAGAATTAAACTTAAATTTTTGAATTCGTTTAGAAGGATTATATAATGAAATTAAATAAATTATTGGGATAGATTTTTGTTTAGCAAATTCTAGATATGGGTATGGAATTGTTGATGTTGTACTTGAAACATACATAGCCTCAATTCCTATTTTTGCAATTTCATCATATATAATAGAGTTAAGTGGAGGAAGACAAGGTGCATGTGAAACAGCAATGAATTTTTCTCCGTTACAAATATACCCATAGCAATTATTAGCGGGATAATTAAGACAGTGTTGAACACAATGTTTTAAGACTTTTTCACTCATTGATTAATATTATTTTAATTATAATTAATTATAGTTTTTTTTCATTTTAATTTTTTTAGTTTTTTCTATTTCAAATGATGAATTTTTTTTCTTTCTTTTTTTCTCTTGAATGAATTGAAGTAAAATATAAACATATCAAAGTAACAAAAAACACAATAAATTGTACAATATTTAACTGAATACGAGAGACCTCTTCCTATTTAATAGCTTTGTTGTTTCTTCCATTCTTCTAACCTTCCAATTGAACTAGAACAAAAAGAATGATCGAATGACTTTTGGAAGTGAGCTTCCAATGAATCTGCTGATTCGTTACTATTAACATAATCACAGAAAACGATATTTGTAAAATTTGATTTGATAATTGATTTATTGGCTGAACGAGAAGGTGGATGTGGAGGTGATTCAGCATTATCGATTTGTACAGAATCATTCAAAGAGTCATTCGACTCATTAGCAATATAATCAGAGTAACTAAGAAGAAGTACATCATCAAGAACGTCCTTTAGATTTGTTGTTGAAATCATGAAGACTAGAGACTTTGATTTTTTAAGATGATTAGATGGTTTAAATCATCTTCAAAATGAGTAGTTGAAAGACGAAAAGAAAGAAATCAACAATTTTTATTTTTGAATCTTCACTTTTTTGCGAAATTAGGAAAGGATCCCAATAATTACCTTATTTCCCTTTTGATTCAGATAAAATTTTTGGAATCAATATTTAAGAGTTATGAAAAAGTTAAATGAAAAGTGAAATCTAAAAATAATCCTATTAAATCTATAATGAGATGAATTTTTTCTTTTTTCAACAAGAATAAGATAATACAGCTTATATATGTCTAAAATTATGTTTTTGAGTTGTGTGTTGATAGTTTTTTGTCTTTATTATTGTTAAAAAGGCCTTTTTATCAGGTTTCAGTCAAACCGTTTTATAAATAATTATTTTACCTTTATTGTTTTGTTTTGTAGTTTATAGAATTTTTGTATAATGCAAATAATCTAATATTAAATTATTTAATAGTATAGAACTTCTTCAAACCTCAAACATAATGAATAATCCAAAATCTTGACGTAAAAGGGTTGGTGATGTTTTTTCTGGGTTTTATATAAATAACTCTATTCTTTCATTTATCCGAAAAGAAACTAAGAGGATAAGATCTTAAATTGAAAAGATTGTAGTTTAAGAGTAATTTATTTTCAAAAAATAAACAAAAGATTCGAGATATGTCCAAAGTGGATAGTGACCACTTCTCTCACACCCAGATGAAAGATGATTATAAAACAAAGAGATATTCAATTGGATTAAAATGTCCTCCTGCTCTAAACCCAGAATGGGGAGATATAAGTCATTCTATTCAACAAAGAGTACAAAAATTAAATAAAAAATTTCATAAAGATATTAAAGTTAACTTAGTTCAACCAAATCAAGTTGATCATATAATTGAGCAATCAGAAAGTGAAGAAGTAATTATTGAAAACAATAACAATGGAATGAGAACAACCAGAAGAGAAAGGAGAAGAAAAAGAAAAACTAGGAGAGTTCAACTTCAAGCAAATCAAGAGCCCCGAGTAAATCGTACTCACCAAAGAATTGTCACAATAAGAAACAGACAACAGTTAGAAGCATATTTATTGTCAATTATTTATATTATCTTTGTCTGTTGTGTTTCTATACTCATTGCCTTTGTCATTATTATCATTTTGATCTGAATAGTAAAAAAAGATATTTATGAATTGAATTCATTACTTAATTTATTTATTTTATAAACTTAAAAACAAAATTTTAAATAGTTCTTGTATTAAAATTAAAGACGATATTGAATGGCACCTGCTTTTGTAATATATCTTACCCACTTAATAGTTTTATAATCTGAAGCAATTTTCAAATAACGAATTTGTAAACCAGTTGCAGTTAATGCTGGAATAACAAAATCCATTAAAATTGGTGGTTTATCCCATCTTTGTGATTGAGTAGTTTGGACTAAATCAACATCAACAGTAATAGTTTGTTGTGTCTTTCCATTAAATCTGGAAATTCTCCATAAAATAGCTGCATGTTCTGGATGATACTTAGCACTTCCAGCTGTACAACGAGTCTTACAAAGAGCAGCATTCTTTGGAACTGGAATTTTAATACGAACATTTTCACCATATTGTAATTCAGAGAATAATGCACGAACATTAATATCAAGTGATAAATGTGTTTTAGAAGATTCTTTAATATTGTGTAATAATCTAAATTGTTGTGAGATATTATCAGTTGTTCTGTATTTCATTAAATCAAAATCTCCATCTGGTGGAATGAAATTAATACTTCTATCTTGATCAAAACGAGTTAGTCTAACACATTGATGGAAAGTAACATCAGCTAATTGAATTGATTTCTTTTGTGCTGAATCTCCAAGTAATAATGCTTTATCATTCATACCAAGTGAACAATCTGGCATTCCAGATAATTGTGTTCTCATTTTAATAACTCCATTGACATCATTAGAAAGAATAGTTCCTTTAGCAGATACTGTTAAATTAACACTTTCAATAACATCAAGGAATAATTGATTCTTCTTATAGAAGATATCAGGTGATCTCCATGGAATTTGACCTGTAGCTTGGATAGCAATATTTCCTCTTTGAACAGTTTTAGCTTTACCAAATGTAATAAGTGATTGCAACTCATCTTTAGTACAAAATTGTGGATAACCAAAATCAAGAATTTCATCAAGTAATTCATAAATCAAAACATATTGACTCTTAATAGTGTTTTCGTCAATAGTAGTGAAATAAGCTTGGAATACTTCAACAATTTTATGTAACACTTCAAATACAACAGCAGCATTATTATTACTTCTTGCTAAAGCAACAATATATAATGAATTAACTCTAATATGATAAAATACAGTTGACCCAACAATCTTAACTGGTAATACATTTTTTTCTGTTAATACATATGACCTAAATGCAGAAGCTACTCCTTTCATCACATCATCTCGATAGATTCTTGAGATGAGAAGGTCACCCTTCGCATTCATGAAGAAGATAGCCGAAATCATAAGAATAGAATAACAAGATTTGAGTTCCTTGCAGAAAAAAAAGAATTTTCTTAATGGACTTCAAGTAAAACTAGTTCTATAGTTTATTTTTATAATTTTTATCATATTAATAAATTAATTTATTGTTTCTATAACTAATCCTAATAATTCGGGATTTGTTTCATCTTAATTTAAAGAGCTGAAAACTCTGTTGGAATGGAAAAAGAAAAACAAAATTATAAAAACTTAATAGTTAGATAAAAATTGTTATTCAAAATTTATCAAGAAAAGCATTTTGAGTAAAACAAAATAATATAAAAATAAAAAAGATGTAATACAAAAAATCAAGAAACGAAAATGAAGAGAACGAAGAAGTAGAATTTTTATCATAAAAGAATATTTAAAAAAAAAAATAACAATTTAAGAATAAAAAAGAAAAAGCAATTAAAAATAAAGGGGTTGGTGCGAGCTTTGTGCATGTCATAAATACTATTACCAATTCTTACTAAATGTTGTATTAACAAAAAAAATAAAAAGTTACTAAAACTGAAAAGAACTTTTATTAAGTTGTATGTCAAACAAACAAGAAATACTTTCTTCTTCACTTCCCTCTCAAGAAAAAAAAGACGAATTAACTGAATCTTCACCTAATTACCTTACAACAGAATCTGTTTTAGAAGAAAGACAAGAAGAGAAAATAGAAGAAAATGGATCTCCTTTACTTTCTGAGTCTTCTAAGATAGATACACCTGAAGAAGAAACAAAAGAAAAAAAAGGGAAAAAGAATTTTCTATCTAAAACTGTTGGTGGTATTGCAAAAGGAACTAAAGCCGTTGGGCATGGTCTTGTTAAAGGTACAAAAGTTGTTGGACATGGTGTAGTTAGTGGAACTAAAGCAGTAGGTCATGGTGTAGTTAGTGGAACTAAAGCAGTGGGACATGGTGTAGTTAAAGGAGGTAAAGCAGTAGGTCATGCTCTTAGCAAAGATGAAAAAGATAAGAAAAAAGAAAAAACTAAAGAAGACAGTTGTTCAGAAGGTGAGATTATTGTTTCAGAACCATTACTTGAACAAGAAACAAATGGAAGTGATATTTCTCTTATAGATTCACAAAGTCTTCAAAGTGCAAATCCAAGTGATAACAAATCAACAATTTCAAATATTAATGGAGATACTGTATCATATACATCTGCTTCAATGAATACAGAAACCAAAAGTGTTAGTCAAAGTTGTGCTAACAATGACACAGTTTCTGTTACTTCATTAGATAAAACAGAAAAAGAAACAAAAAAAGAAAGTAAGTTCAGAAGATTTGGTAAGAAAAGAAATAGTTCAAATCCTGATGATCCTACTTTAACTTCAGGATCACAAAAAGCTGATGAATCCTCTTCTTCATTAGAAAAATCAGAAAAATCACATAACTCAAAAGACCTATCTAAGAAAACACAAGAAAAAGAAGATAAAGAAAAGAAAGGTGTATTTGCCTCAGCAGGAAAATTTGTAAAAGGGTTAGGTGAATCAACTAAAGAAGCATTAACATTTAGTAACGAAAAGAGTAATGAAGAAAAAGCAAGAGAAGAACAAGAAAATTTAATAGTACTACAATTATTTAAAGAGAATGTCCGTTGTTTTGATAGTAATTCAGTTGTTACATTACCATGTGAATCATTAGTTGGATATAAAAGAATGAATAAATCTAAGATTACTAAAAGAGATTTAGTTTTTGCAATGTGTAGTAATGCAGTTTATCGAGGAACAATTAAAATTGATTCTTGGAGTACAATGGAAATGCCAAAAGATACATACAAAGAAGGAATATTTGGTGATTCATTAATTACGTTAAATGTTAAAGAAGATGGATATTTTGTCGAAACATGTTCTGAATCTGTAGATCAAAAAACAGACTTAAAAAATTTCACTATTGTTGATTTTGAAGCTGACTTCCCATTTTATAAAGAATTTTTTTATGGTAATGATCAAGTCAAACATTATTTATCTAAAGAAGAAAATGTTATTTGTTCTATTCAACGTTTCAAAGAAGTTTCTCGTTGTATTTTAAGAAATGGTCAAGGAGTTACACGTTGTCTTATTGGAAAAGAAGAATCAGAAAAACCACAAAATTATACTAAATTTTTCAAAGATCCAAAGACTGTTATTTGTTTAAATAATACAATAGAAATTGATGAAGAATTACTTGAAATGGAAACTAAATCTTTAATAACCCATTATAAGTTTGGGGTTATTTATGTAAAACCTGATCAAACAGAAGAAAATGCAATCTTTAGAAATACTCCAGAAAGTTGTTCTCCAGCATTTTGGAAATTCTTAGACCTTATTGGTAATAAAATTGAACTTAATGGATGGAGTGGATATAGAGGAGGGTTAGATGTTAAAACAGGGACAACAGGAGTACATAGTTATATTTCTCATTCAAATAATTTTGAAATTATGTTTCATGTTGCACCTTTATTACCTTTATTACAAAATGATGAACAAGCACTAGAAAGAAAAAGACATGTTGGTAATGATGTTGTTGTATTAATATTCAAAGAACAAAGTAGTTCATCTGATAGATTTGATCCAAGGTGGTTAACAAGTCATTTTAATAGTATTTTCTTAGTTGTTACACCAGAAAAAACTACAGAAGATAATAATAAATATCATATCACTGCTTGTACAAAACCATCTATTAATCCATTTCCACCATTCATTAATGAAACAGGTATATATAATCATGACGATGAATTTAGAGATTTTGTATTAAGAAAATTAATTAATGGAGAAAGAATGGCAATGTTTTCTCCTACTTTTAAATTAAATTACAAGAAAACTATTAGAGAACAACTAAAAGACTTAAATGAAAGATATTACAAGCAAGATCTTCTTTCACAAATTAATTTCTTCTAATATACTTACTTTTTTATTATTTTCAAAAGAAATTTTATTTATTTTCCTATATAAAAAAATTAATTAAATATTGTCATAAAAATTTCTAATCTAATTTTCAAGGTCATCAATAATAAGTTTTGATTCTACTGATGGTGCTTCAAGCTCATCAATAGTTAAGACATCAATATTATTTTCTGCTCTTTGTTCAGCTAATAGAGATGCATTTTCTGTTTTAATTGATTCTTCATGTTCTAATTCATTTACAGTTTGTTCCATAACAGTTGAATCATTATGAATCTCTCCAATAACAGGTTCTGGGTTTTGATAAGACCAACTTGCTCGTTGATCATTATAATTTGAAATTGAAATAAGTACACCAATAGCTCCAAGACAAAACTCAAAAGAAATTGGGGTATTAAAAATAAAATATGAAAGTGTAGTTGTGCATACAATAGCAACAGAAACAGCAAATCCTTTGACTATAACATCTGCATATGTCATAACTAATGCAACAAGAATACCTCCTACTGACATAACAAATATCATAATCAAAGTGTAAATGGAAAAGTCATGGAAAATTCCTTTTTGGAAGACACTTACTGAATCAAATAATACCAAATTAATAATAGAGAATCCAATACTGTAAATAGATAATTGGAAATTTCGTTCCCATAAACTTAATTTTGGGCTATTGTCTACTTTATTCTTTAAAATCTTTTCCATAAATACTCCACTAAATCCACTTGCAGTAGCTGCAAGAAGAGCTGCTCCAACTCCAATGAAATAATACCCACCTTCTACAGCACTATTTCCTGTTGTTGTTCTACTAGCACTTTCTACTGTAATGACAGCAAGAACTAAAGTTGCAAGACCTCTCCATTGTGTAGCTGTTAATTTTTTACCAAGAATTAATACTGAGAGAATAGCAGCAGAAAGTATTTTAACTTGAGTGAGGACAGAATATAAACCAGGTTGAATATTAGCTAAAGATAATTGACATAATATATTTTGGAAAAAATAAATAAGTGCAGGTATACTTGAGATGAGTGAAGTCATTATTAAATATTTTAAATGAGAAAAAATAGTTACATCTTTACGGGTAAGCATAATTCCGATGATAGAAATAACACACTTAGTAATTTCACTTAATAAAATTGAGGCACTTGTAGAGTATTGTTCTTTTAGAATACCTTTTGAATAACGAGTAATCAATGAAAGAGACGTGTTTTGAATCGTTAGAGCAGCAAGAAAGATGATACTTAGAATTGCTTGGTTCATGAATTGAATTATGAGATGTCTTTAGGTTTGATATACTTTTTTATTTTTCTTGAGATTTTTTTTTGACTAAAATTCCATTTTTTTGTTTTTTTATTGATTTTTGATATCTGGGAATGAGAAAGGAATGTCAAAAAAAAATGAGTTATTGAATAATATTTGAATAAGAAAACAACAATTATTTGACCCACTAACTGAATAATCTGATAATAACATGTTTAACGATGACAACAAAATTCTCGATGAAATAAATTATCAAATGGTCTCACCATCTCCTAATAGAATATTTAATATTCTTAAAAATTATAAAAAAATTTTTGTTCATATTATTGTGCATCATATAGCTCAAATTATTGCATTATTAATTTGTATAATTCTCATTTCAATAAATTTCTCTATAACAGAACACCCTTTAGGTATTAAAATACTAATTATTGAAATAGTTTTTTCTGTTGTTGCATTGTTTATTTATATTTGTTATATTCCATTATTATTCATTAGTTTTAGAACTCATCCTCTTTTTATTGCAGACCCTAATGGTAAACCATTATTTGCTAAGACCGCTAATTTAGTTCATCGATTTTATTTATTAACTCTTGGAATAAATGTTATCCTCTCATTATTACTTTCTTTTAGTTTTAATCCAACAGGAAGTTTAAATAAACGAAGTGATGGTATTTATTCAACACTCATTTGTTTCTTAATATTCCTTGGACTATCTTGTGGTGAAATTCAAAAACCTTTGTTGTTTATCACTCGTAAAATAAAATCAGTTGAAATCAGTTTTAATGAACTTGAAATAGAAGAACCTTTGAAAGGATCTTCTTTTGCTGATAAAATTGGTGTTTTTACTTTAGGATATAATTTTATTGGATTTCAATGCTATGTTAAATACCATTTTGACCCAAATCAACCTACAATACAACCAGAATTATATCTTAGTGGATGGGTAAAAAATTTCTAATTGAATCTTCTGAATGATTATTGTTTTAATAAAAATAAAAAAAAAAAATTTTTTTGGTTTCCTCAAATGATTTATTAAAATGATGAAAAATAGCCACGTTGATAGTTCTTTTAATAATCATACATCATCTCAATAACTGAAATGAGACCCACTTGGAGAGTTAACAAAAAAATTAATCTATCTGGTACCTCATCTAAATCTAAATCATCTCGAGAAATACTCTTGCAAATTCAAATTCAAAAACAAGAAAGAGAGGCAAATAACCAACGAGAGAATGCTGCAATACTTATTCAATCAGTTATAAGAAGATACCAAGTAAAGAAAACTATTCCATCTTTGTTTGTAGAAAATTTTAAATTATTTAAAGAATTAAAAGGAAACAAAGAATATAGTTCTTGTATTACTGCAGCTACTTTAGTTCCTTGTGTTGAAAATAATACTTCTGCTTTAATACTTCTGAATTATCAAAGAAATCATCCATTAATTGGTAAATTAGCATGGAATTTATTAATAAGTGAAATCCAATTAAATCCACGAGCAATGTTAATGCTTGTTAATACATTTATTAATAAACCTACTGTTCCAAAGGCTTATCCAAACAAAAAAATATTACCAATACTTCCTTTTCAATTAAGACAACAACTAATCACTACTCTATGTTTATATCCAAATCAAGGACTATTAGATTATTTTACAATTGAAGGTGAATCAATTATTCCATTATCCAAACAGTCATTAGATTATTTATTTACTGTTGATTTAACAAATTATCAGTCATTAATTATTTATTTATTACAATCACCTGAATTACCTCCAATTTATGAAGTTAAGTTCATTAGTGAATTGTCAACAATAGAAACTGTAAATACAAGGGTATTAAAATTATTGCATAATAAGAAAGTACCTGTTCCAACTAAAACCACTTTCTTTATACATTTAAATTTGTATAAACTACTCAAACAAAGTCAAACATTATTACATTTATTTTTACAGAATTTTCCATTCCCCTTCTTAGATCTAATGCAACCATTTATTGAAACAGATGCACCATATCATAATGATGCAGTTAATTTATATATAAGTCTCTGTCACGACGTTCTTTCAACAAGACTATACATCAATTTATATGAAGATATGTTACCTTCCTTGAAGTATTTACTACCTTTATTAAAAGTTAATGAAAATCAACAGGTAATGCAAGACTTACATCTCCTTATTAGACACTCACCATTTCCACCATCACTACTTCCATTTACAAAAAGTGTGAATCCAACACTATTCTCTCCATTACCACAAAAACTTATTGGAATATTTTCTAAGTTAAATAATGATATTACTTTTAAATCAACTATAAAAATAAGAAGAGATTATCTCATTGAGGATAGTTTAGCACAAATTAATCATTGTGATATAAATGCAATTCAAATTAAATTTGTTGATCAATTTGGAATAGAAGAAAATGGTGTAGATGGTGGTGGATTATTAAGAGACTATCTTATTTCAACGCTAAACTCTTGTGTTGAAGTATTACATTTATTTGAGAGAAATTCTGATGGGTTATTAACATTTGGTCAAATACAAAAGAATTTAGTTGAAGCAAGTGAAGATGAATTATATCAAATGGCAGGGCGGTTAATTGGTAAATGCTTAAATGAAAAAGTCTCAATTGATTTAGTATTTTCTGATGATATTCTTATAGGACTAACTAATCCAGAAGATGATTCTATCAATATTAATACACTTGCTAGTATTGATTATGTTTTTGCAAAAAATTTAAATGAATTAAGTGATATGAGTGAAGAGGAATTAAAATCATTAGAATTAACATTTACATATGATAATGTGTCATTAATTACTGGTGGAGATAAAATATTTGTCAACAAAAATAATGTAAATTATTATATTTCATGTGTGATATTTTATATCACACATATAAGAAATAGCAAACGAATTAGATCATTGAGAAATGGATTATTAAGTGTTATTAAGGAAGAAGATATTAGATTATTATTCCCTGATGAATTACAACATTGGATAAGTGGTAAATCAAGTGTTATTGATGTAAATGATTGGCAACAAAATACAGTATATCATAATATAAAACCTGATGACCAATTAATTCAATGGTTCTGGAGTATTGTTGAATCTTTTTCAGAAGAAGAAAAATCATTATTATTACAATTTAGTACTTCATTAATTAAACCACCTTTCTTTGGATTTGGATCATTAGAACCTAAATTTGCAATTTACTTCACTAATCAATCTTCTGAACATTTACCTACATCATCTACATGTGCTTATATGTTAAGAATACCAAATTACAATTCTAAAGAAGAAATGAAACAACAACTAATTAAAGCAATAACATCAAAATCAGGATTTGCATTTTCTTAATATAAAGATAAAAAAATTAATTTATTTGTTGTATCTTTTTTGTTTGAAAAAAATAATCTTAAATGGACCCCATTGTGTGTTTAAAAAAATAGATTTTAAAAGTGAAGTTAAGATAATGTACAAAGACCGAATTAGTTATTTTTTTGGTTGTACTCACCTTAGTGAAGTTTGTCTATCTGTAGTTTTAAAACGAGAATAAATCCCGATTAAATCCAGTTTTTTTTGGGTTGTTCTTAATGGAAGTGTTGATTTCTTTTCATTCATCTTTTTTTGGAAAAGAGAAAAAGAAATAAAAAAATAATAAATAATAAGAAATAAACTATATTCCCAAAGAAAAATTCCAAATGAAAAGCTATTTAAACTCAGTCTAGAACTGTTAAAAATAAATTCAAATTGTTTTTAATGACTACCAATACCTATAAATTAGTTATGCTTGGTGGTGGTGCTGTTGGAAAATCTGCTATCACCGTTCAATTAGTTTCTGGACATTTTGTACAAATTTATGATCCAACTATTGAAGATTCATACAGAACTTCTATTTCTGTTGATGGAGAAATGGTTTCACTTGATATTTTAGATACTGCAGGTCAAGAAGAATATTCTGCCTTAAGAGATCAATACATGCGTTCAGGTGATGGATATGTTATTGTTTATTCAATTACATCTACTACTTCATTTTTAGAAGCCAATGGATTTAGAGAGCAACTTTATCGTGTTCTTGATAAAGACGTATCAGAGCATGTTTCTATTGCTCTTTGTGGTAACAAATGTGATTTAGAAAATGAGAGACAAGTAGAAACTGCAGAAGCTAAAAAATTAGCTGACGAATGGAAAGTATTATTCTTTGAAACTTCTGCAAAAGCTAAAATCAATATCGCTGAAACATTCCAGGCATTAGTTAAAGACATTAAAGCAAATAGAGTGTCATCAGAATCTACTACTTCTACTGAACCTACTGAAACAAAAGGAAAGAAAGAAGGAAAACCTTCTAGATCAAAGTGTGAATTGTTATAAACAACACTAGAAACTTTGACTTATGTTTTTATTGAAAAAGAGTAAAAAAAAAATTGAATTTTTCTATTAATTTCTTCCTCTTTTTCAAATGAATTTTTTCATTTTCTTAAACTACTAAATTTTTGATATAACATAATAGTATTAAAGCAAATGTAAATTTGACAAATTCTGTTATAATAAGTTTTATTCGCTCCAATCATCGTCATCATCTTCTTCTTCAGAAGAAGAAATATTAGTGTCTTGTCTTCTTGCGGTAAGAATTCCTCTTAACGCTAAAACAACCTCATCTTCTTGAACTACCCGTTCTTCAATTTCCGTTGCTTTTAATTTACCTTGTTTAGCTGCAATCATTTCTGCTAATGATAATGCTGCACCTGAACCTGGTTTCATTGTATTTGTTGGTGAACTTGTTATGTTTAACGTTGGAGGAGGTGGTGGCATACTCAATGTTGGAGGAGGTGGTGGTACAACAATTGATGGTGAAGAGGACGTTTTTGTACTAGAGTCCAATAAAGATGCCTTAAATCTTTCAGTTTCTTCTTTTTCTTTTTCAAGTCTTTCAGCTTCGAGTTTTAATCGTTCTTCTTCTTCTTTCAAACGCGCCGCTTCTTGTCTTAATCTTTCTGCTTC